TGTCCGCCGGGGCGGGGGCGAGGTGCTGCCGGGGCCCCCCCCCCCACTGCCCCCACTCACCAGGAAGACGACGGGCGGGGAGCCGAGGAGGGCTATGGCCGTGGAGAGCTTGCGCTTGTTGCCCCCGCTGTACTTGCCCGCCGGCCGGTCTGCGTGTGGCCCCAGCCCCAGCTTGGCGATGCCCCACTGAGCCACCTGCGAGAGACACGGAGGGGATGAGGATGGGGGTCCCCTGGGATGGGGGTGCCGGGGCGCGGGCCCTACCCTGGGGGTCTCCTCCTCCGGGACACCACGCAGGCGGCTGTAAAACTCCAGGTGCTCCCGCCCCGTCAGCAGGTCCGTGATGGCGTCGAACTGGGGGCAGTAACCCATGTGCTGGTGGACGGACTGCAGGTCAGTGAGCACACTGCGGGGACGGGGACACGGCTGAGCACGCGGCGGGGACAGGGACAAGTTCCGGGGACAGGGACGAGGCTGAGCACACTGCGGGAATAGGGATGAGCACACTGCAGGGATGAGGATGAGGATGAAGCCGAGTGCAAGCATGTTGCAGGGATGAGGGCAAGGGGGAGCACAGGGTGGGGACGGGGATGACAGCACATGTGCTGCGGGGACAAGGAGAGGGGGAGCAGCGGGTTGGCCACGGGGGGGGTCCCCCTGTCTCGCCCACCTGTGCCCTTTCAGCCAGGCCTCCCCCAGCGTCACATCCGTGTCTCCCGTCAGCATCTTGAAGGTGGAGGTCTTCCCTGCGCCGTTCACCCCCAGGAGGCCGAAGCACTGCGGGGCACAGACCGGGGTTACGGCAGCCCCGGCCCTGCCCGCAGTGGCATCTGTCTGTCTGTCCGGCACTCACCTCCCCAGGGGGGATGGCCATGCAGAGCCGGTCCACCGCCGGAGCCTTCCTGCGCCGGTACACCTGTGCGGCAGAGCCGAGGCAGTGCTGGGTGCTCCCCACCCATCACCCGCCAGCGGGACCGGGGGCTATGGGAGAGGCTGGAGCCCCACAGCGAAGGACGAGGCAGGGTCCAGCCCCACAGCACGCACCTTGGTCAGGTCCTTCAGCAGCAGGAGGTGGCTGTGCGGGCGGGTGCTGCCCACCCTCGCCCGCTCCCTGGCCACGTCCCGGTCCTCCTCCCCCAGCGAGGGCAGCTGCAGAGCCCGCGGCCTGGGGGCAACAGCGGCAGGGGCACTTCCAGGGCTGCCTGCCCCACGGCCGCCCCACCGCTGCCCCACGGCCGGTCCTCACCCGAGCCGCAGGAAGAAGCGGTATTGCAGCAGGAGGGTGAAGAGGAAGAAGATGACGCCCTCAACGGCCATGGTGAACATGTTCTTCCCTGCCAGATCCCAGGACAGGGGGGACACGAAGTACTTGTCCCCTGTGAGCGGTGAGAGGGGCTGTAGGAGGGGAGGACGCTGGGGAGGGCCCCTGTGCTGGCCAGTCTTTGGGGAGGGGGAACAGCCCCGATGCCCCTGGACTCACCAAACCTCTCAAAGGCGTCAGCCATCGCCTGGTTCTTCACCATGTCGATGAGGCCTCGGCCCAG